CCTTCAGAGTTTTCGTAGTGTTTAGTATCGTGGTGAGTATTAGTTCTTGCATAATTGTTTCTCTGGATGGGGTATTGTGAGGTATATTTTTTGTTTAAATGGTAGGTCCTAACCTGTTTATTGGAGTAATCGGTTTTGTCTCTTATATATTTTTTTATTTTTATATGTTTGGTTTCGATTTCAACTTTCTCGATCTTACTTTGGATGAGTATTGAGTTTTGTTTGTATGCTTGTGTTTCTGTGAAAGGTAAAAGTTTGTCTCGAAGACTATTAATTTCAATGTCTAGAGTGGACAATTTTTTACTTTTTTTTATTATTAAGGTCTCCATAAGGCCTAGAGTACAGAGCTCTAATTTATTATTCCACTCTTCCATAAACTCTAAGTCATCTTGATCAGAAGTGGGTAATTTGAGTAGTCTTAAGCCACGAGGGGTGATTTGCTCATCAATATATTTTTTTAAAGTGGCTATCTCCCATTTTAATTTAATTTCTGTACTTAGAGTTTTTTCTAATTTTGTGAACAATTCTTCTTGACTTATATTAGGATAATTAGTTGGCATAGGACTAATGACTTCTGTATCAAAAACATTATCTACATCGATAATATAATTATTCCTAAAATCAAAGATTGACATATTGGGGATTAGGAAGCAGCTGACTCTAGAGGGAATTAAAACAGAGTTAAAACAGAACAAAGAGTAAGCGCTAGCTAATATGAGGGCAGCAACCCTATAAGGGAATCCCTCAAGAACCCTTAAAAAAACGCAAAGAGAGAAAAGATAAAAAGTTAAGGGCTGCGCCAATACACAAATGGGAATAGCAAATAGTCCAAATAAATAACTGTAGTAAAATAAGAAAGTCTTATCTAGAATATGCTCTTTGAGGGTATGGGATCTATCCGTGCTTGATCCGGAGCAATTGTCCTTTATATGTTCATCCGTGGGAATCCAATTTGAAAGAGCTAAACTTGCTCTAGTATAGAAGGCGTACAGCGGTTTGATCCCCGCTTATGGGATATGGGGTGGATTTCCTCCGTCAGTGGTGTATCCGACACTCGGGTAGAAAGAAACAGCCAATAGTGTACACTGGATACAATGTTGATAATAAAACAAATAAAATAAAATGGGTACTCACAAGGCGGGAGCAGAACAACTGCTCCTTGACGTAGCGCTGGTGGTATGATCCCCACCTAGGATTTCTTGGAGTCCGGGATGTTGAGAGAATGCCAGGTAGTGAATAAAGTGTATAAAAGGATAAGTGGCACAGATAAAAAGTAACCAAATATACTTTAATATATATAAAATACACAATTAAAAGTCCATAAACGCGTTTCGCCAAGAATGGCGTTATCAATATGGGGTAAGAACCTGAAACCTGGCATGACATAGTTTATATAACAACTGTAATTCTATAAAATTGGCGCCTAAAATGAGCAGCCAATCAACAATGAGTAAAAACATAAAATGATAATACAGTATAAAAATAGAAAAATCAATACTCTTATGCAATAATATGTTCATTATCAGTATGATGGCATAAGTACAAGTAAAAAACGAGAGGTATAACTCAGTATTTAATACTTTAATGTGCGCGGTCATGTGACCGGCACCGGGCCGCTGGGGAGTATGGGAATAGTAGTATAGGCGCCGGCGCGCACTGCGCAGCCGCCGGCGTCTATGTAAACAGTAAGGCGTCAGCTCGCACAATGATTGCGGCTGACGTCAGTAGGAGGGGTGGAGCGACGGCGGCTCGCACGGGAATGCGGCCGTCGTCAAGGAAACCAGATAAACAGACGACGGCGAGCACAAGGCTGCAGCCGTCGTCTGGGCTACAGGGGAAGCTTGTCGGCATGTGAAAAGTACGGCCGACCAAGCCCTCCAAAACAAAAGGAAACAGAAGCAAGAACAATACACAGAACCTATGGCACAAGACAAATGGCATAAAATAAAAATAAAAAATAAAAATAAAAAAGGGGATAAAGATAAAATAGATATGGGAAGGTGTACTGGCTATTGAAAAAGAAAATATAAAAAAAAAAAAAAAAAAAAAAAAAAAAAAAAAAAAAAAAAAAAAAAAAAAAAAAAAAAAAAAAAAAAAAAAAAAAAAAAAAAAATATATATATATATAAATTCTAAAAAATATAAAAAATTATAAAAAGTTAAACAAATCAAAGTCTACATTGAGACCATGTGGTGTAAGAGTTTGAAGTCTGTACACCCACTCCATTTCTATTTTACCTAAAATATTTTTAATATTTCCACCCCTCCAGGGAATCACACATTTTTTTATGCCTATACATTTCAGCATACTAGGGTCTTTGTTGTGTTGAATAAAATGTTTGGATACTGAATGATTCTGGTATCCATTTTTGATGTTTCTGCAATGCTCGCTTAAGCGTGTTTTTAAGCACCTTGTGGTCATTCCAACATATTGGAGACCACAGGGACATTCGAGCAGATATATAACATTTTTCGTAGAACAATTAATAAAATCATAAATTTTGTAGACCTTGTTTGTTCGATTCGACATAAACTGAGTAACTTTACATGGGACAGCAGGGTCAGTAGTTCTACAGACTATGCACATCTTACATTTGCAAAAACCTTTAATTTGAGGAAAGAAGGATAGAGGGGGTATATTTTTTACTTCCTTTGTATAATTTTTTGTCAGTATTGATTTAAAATTTCTGGCTCCTCTAAATATTACATTCGGACGCTCTGGTATAATTTTACCAAGGGTGTCGTCCTGTTGTAGGATATGCCAGTGTTTTTTTATGATCTTTTTAACATTATTACTTTTGTTATTAAAGTTAAAAATAATTGGTAGAGGCATGGATTCATCTGTAGTTTTGGGTTTATATTTTAAAAGTTCATATCTATCTTTGTTTTGAATGTCTCTAATGGTATTGTTCAATTCCGTTTCAGAATAATTTTTTTCGATGAATTTGTCTTTCAGTGCATTAGCTTGTGTATTGAAATCACTTATTTCTGAGCAGTTCCTCCGGAGTCTCAATATTTGACTCTTGGGAGCACTGTCTAACCAGGGTTGATAATGGCAACTGCTCTTATCTATAGCAGTATTTGCGCATACTTTTTTAAAAAAAGTTTTAGTGTGTATTTTGCCGTTCTTAATAAAAATATTGAGGTCTAAAAAGTTAATTTGTTCCCTACTATATTCATGAGTAAGGATTATGCCTCTATTGTTGGTATTAAGATTGGTGATAAAAGAGTTAAGATCGTCTTCAGAACCCTCCCATATAAAAAAAAGGTCATCAATATATCTAAAAAATGAAACTAGGTTCGCTCTCCAAGCATGGTCACTAAAAACAGCTGCAGATTCCCAGTCGGCCATAAATAGATTCGCGTAGCTGGGAGCAAACCTGGTTCCCATAGCTGTTCCTTTTTTTTGAAGATAAAAAGAGTTTAAAAACCAAAAATAGTTATTCTTTAAAATAATATTGATACCTTCTAAAATAAAATCGATTTGTATATCGGGAATTTTTCCCTCACTCGTCAGGATATCTCTTACAGCTTCGCAGCCTATATCATGAGGTATGATTGTATATAGTGACTGAACGTCGCAAGTCACCAGTATAAAATTAGATTTCCATGTAAAATTATTTAAAAACTTTAAAAGGGCCATGGAATCTTGAAGATAAGATCTCATGCGTTTGACTGAAGGCTGTAGGAGGATATCGATATATTGAGAGAGATTGCATAGGAGAGAGCCTATGCCGGACACAATAGGCCTCCCCGGTGGTGCAGTTTCATTTTTATGGATTTTGGGAAGAAAGTATATAACTGGAGTAACGGGAAATTTATTATTTAAAAAATTAAATTCACCAAATTTATCACCAATCTTAATACCAACAATAGAGGCATAATCCTTACTCATGAATATAGTAGGGAACAAATTAACTTTTTAGACCTCAATATTTTTATTAAGAACGGCAAAATACACACTAAAACTTTTTTTAAAAAAGTATGCGCAAATACTGCTATAGATAAGAGCAGTTGCCATTATCAACCCTGGTTAGACAGTGCTCCCAAGAGTCAAATATTGAGACTCCGGAGGAACTGCTCAGAAATAAGTGATTTCAATACACAAGCTACCAGCATAAATTCATCTAAAAATTATTCTGAAACGGAATTGACCAATACCATTAGAGACATTCAAAATAAAGATAGATATGAACTTCTAAAATATAAACCCAAAACTAAAGATGAATCTATGCCTCTACCAATTATTTTTAATTTTAATAATAAAAGTAATAATGTTAAAAAGATCATAAAAAACACTGGCATATCCTACAACAGGACGATACCCTTGGTAAAATTATACCAGAGCGTCCGAATGTAATATTTAGAGGAGCCAGAAATTTTAAATCAATACTGACAAAAAATTATACAAAGGAAGTGAAAAATATACCCCCTCTATCCTTCTTTCCCCAAATTAAAGGTTTTTGCAAATGCAAGATGTGTATAGTTTGTAGAACTACTGACCCTGTTGTCCCATGTAAAGTTACTCAGTTTATGTCGAATCGGACAAACAAGGTCTACAAAATTCATGATTTTATTAATTGTTCTACTAAAAATGTTATATATCTGCTCGAATGTCCCTGTGGTCTCCAATATGTTGGAATGACCACAAGGTGCTTAAAAACATGCCTTAGCGAGCATTGCAGAAACATCAAAAATGGATACCAGAATCATTCAGTATCCAAACATTTTATTCAACACAACAGAGACCCCAGTATGCTGAAATGTATAGGCATAAAAAAATGTGTGATTCCCTGGAGGGGTGGAAATATTAAAAATATTTTAGGTAAAATAGAAATGGAGTGGGTGTACAGACTCCAAACT